CTCAAATCCTTAATAAATTCTTGAGTTTTTAAATTACAAAATCCTAGTTTATAAATCCATGAAGCAAACGACCCCAAACCCCTTAATATAAGCTATCTCTTTGATCCGAGACTTGCAAGTAGAAGCTGGTCGATTGGGCTCGGTGAAATGACAGTTCACGAAGAGGGAATGCAATGGTGCGGCCCACTTGTTGGTCCATACCCAATATAATTGGGACTCCCAGGAACAATTGGCCTTTCGGCCTCCAGTTTTTCTCCTTTCTTTTCCTGACACTGAGCCCATGAGGGATTAACAATATACAAATGTTACTTAAAGAAAAAAATATGAAATGAGTATGACATAATTCAATTATGTTTGGTAAGCAGAGATCTACGGAGGAGAAATAAGTTTAACATTTTGAATGAATAGAACGAAGAAAAGAAATGTGATGTGTTTCAAAGGGCCAATTCATTACTAAGATGATTAAGATTATCTATAAGTTTTAAAAAGACAAAGGGAAAAGATTATGTGTACCAACAAAGTTTTATGTCTTCGTTACGGCTAAATCAAGGAAGGTAATTAACTCGAAGAGTTACGACACATCAAGTATAGAATTCGTATTTAGAATAACTAAAACTAGCTTTATACCCGCCCGTTGGGCGGCAAATTTTGATTGGTTATTATATTTTTCGTCCTAGTATTATAATTTTATTTATGATTCATTATGTTAAACTATTATACATTGAATTGTTAATCTCACTTACCAAATTTCATATATTGTTTCACATTTTTATATATTTCATTTATTTATGAAAATTTAATTTTATTAGATGAGCTCTCTCTAGTACTTTCTTTATTGATTTATAATTATGTATTGAATCCACCATTTAAGATATAAGCTAAAGAGATTATTAATTTTTTAGCACACAAAGTGACAAAGAAGTTAAAATTTTAAAGGACACAAAAGAAGAAGTTAAAATTTGCAAAAATATTTCAATTAATAAAAAAAAGTGAAGAGCTTTCTTTTTCTCACCCTTCTCGTACGTTGTTATATGATAATAGAGAATATCGCGATCTAGATCCCACAAATATCGTGCAATATCAGTTACTTGTGTAATTTTGGAAGAATGAGAAATCACATTGGCATCCACATCATCAATCTTCCGCTTCTTCGTTTAACCCCCTGCTACATTTTGTGGGGCTTGATATAGTTTCTTTATTATCAATGCTGTTTTTTATTATCAATGTTGTATGGGAAAAGAAATAGGAACAAACCAGAATGTTGCATTCATTTTTATTAACTTAATTTACTTTTTATTGATAATGATGACAATTTAAAGAGTAAGCAAAAAAGCACACCAATAAGACTTTGTCCAGCGTCGAAGGGTGAAATTAGTTTTAGATTCCAACAATATTAAGTAATGATTATATATGATTTCTTGGAATTTTTTTTATAAAATGTAATAACTCGTAGAAACATGGTGACATTTTACATACATTTGAATTCTTGAATGTATTGTAGACATATCTATTAATATCTAAGAATATGTATAACGATTTTATTTTAACTTTTAACCCTGATAACTTTTAACCCTCATCGACTGAAATATGAAAACAAAATTTTGTGGCCAGGATAACTCGATCTAAATACAAATTGCTTACTCTTACAAACCAAAAGATTTCCATTTTGATACTTCGATATTGAAAAAGTTTTTGTTATTGCCAAAATTTGGTATGGAGTCACAGACTCACAACCATATAGCTGGGGTTGTTTGCTTGATGAATTTGGAGCTATCGTGAACTTTGTCCAACCATTGCTTGCGTCATGTATTTAGAGGCAACAAATATGTGGGTCTCATGTATTTTAAGGTTCCAAATTTTTGGGCCCCAAGGACTTGAAATTTTCACCTCTTTAGATGGAAATTGATCATGAACTTTGAAGTCTATTATTTATGACCAACCTACCCCTCATAATTCATTTCCCTTCTCATACCAATGAGGGTAATATATGTCATTTTCACTTCCAACATACAAATTCAATTAACCAAATGCATCATGAAATCTATGAAACAAAATATGGTATTTTCAAATCCATAATGAACCAAAACCCTCATATATCCATGCTTTTACAAAATCCAAGTTTTATTAAAACTTTCAGTTTTCAAATCCTCGAAGCAAACAACCCCAATGTTTTATTACAATTGCCTTACTAACACACTTATGTTTATTTATTGTCTCAATCCTCGAATTTAGATTTGTCTACCAAGACATCAACTATTAAATAAATTTTTTCAACCCTTATTTGATCAATGCTAAGGTTAGTGGTTGATGAAACGTGATGTTTATCGTATATCCTCAACGAAGATTTTCTTAACCTTCACGCCTGTTGTTTTTAAGTGATGTTGTGTCTCATCCTAGGTATGAAGTCAAAACTCGTCAAAAATCATAGTTAAGTCATTTTAAAAACTTTGATGTAATAATATTCGACAATATCTCCAAATCTGAAAAGAAATTACTTAGCATTCGACTTATGACCTCAATAGAGATTGTTCAATTAATATGATCTAGTGTGAATATTTTAATATAAACCCTAGGACAAATTATAAATTATTGCACACCTGATTACTCTTAATTTGAGAAACTGAAGGTAGAACATGAATATATGTTTTCACTTAATCACGATGAATAAGAAGTTTTTTAAAGAAAAAACTATTATTGCTTAGTCAAGTTTATATTCAGACCTTTTGCTATATAAGACTTTTTTTTTAATTGATAGAAATATTTATTAGAAATAATTCGACGAAAAATAAGAGAGTTGTTAATACAAAAAAATATAAATTCATATATATCATTTTCAAAGTCGATTGATAAAAATATTATTATATATGTGTGTACTTTCTTAATCATTTGTTTTCAATGTTTCTATTGTAATATTTTGTTTAATTGATATAAATATTATTAAATATGTGTACATTTTTAATCATTTTTTCAATATTTTTATTTAATATTTTGTTTAATTGATACAAATATTATTATATATGTGTACTTTTTAAGTTTTTGTCAAATGTAACTTATTATTAAGTTTTGGTGAAAATGAGTAAGAAAATTTACTTGATAAGATTTAATCATATACTTTTTATTTAATCAAATTCGATACAGTGACACTCTATTTCCATCTTTATTTTTTTTTAATTGACAAAAATATTATACTTTTGTGTGTTTGTTTACATTTTCATAAAAAAAGGTCATTTATTATTAATTTTTAGTAAAAATGAGTAGAAATATTAAAAGAAGAGAGAGATAGCTCCATAAATAGATTAATAATGAATTTTTTGTTTGCAAAAAAAGGTGTCCACCTTGGCAAATTGTGAATTCTCCAAATGCTTATGTGGCAAGAAGTTACTTTTGAATTGCCATAATATATAGTATAGATAGATAGATAGATATAGATATAGATAGATAGATATAGACACTCTATATGACAAATCGAGATCCAATATTTGTTTTTTTTTTGTTGAAACTCCCCTATGAAATGTCAGAGTCCTAAACATAGTATGCAATTTAGATTTAAAGCATTAGAAATATTCATTATTTTCATTATAAGACCAAAAACTATATCATAATATGATAAAATATAGTTAAATTATTGGAGAAATTGATATTTTCGCTAATTTACAACTTTATAATAGCTAAAATATGATGGAATAAAAAAAAAATCGTATGTAATTTGACTAAAGGTACGTGTTATTTAGGCAAGAACGTGTCGAGAATGGGGAGGTTCAGGGCAGGTCGGGTCGATGAGAATACCCATACCCGCCCCAAAAACAGTTCAAACAGGTCAGGTAAAATGGGTCAGGTCGAAATTGCCATCTCTACGCGCCAAGGAATAATGAGGCATTCATAGAGCACTTGCCATGGTATGACTCGATTAATGCACTCAATTTTTACACAGAGAGGAAATGTAGGTATGGTAATGTAATCCATGTCAGAAGGCACAAAAACCTCTTTGCTGTTGATGTTCTGCATATGGGCAGTTAGCTTGCTCGGTCTATGGTGTGCGGCCTTTAGGAACGAGACAAGGATGTTAATTAGGTAGCTTAAGCAACAAAGGAATTCTTCAATCATATCATCAGATCAGATGTGTCTACCATAGCTTTTGATATTCTTTCCCCACCCTCTCTGTTCTGCATTCATGTCAATTCAGTTTTATGCTAGCAATTTCTCATTCTTCACTCTCCACCATGTCAAGATTTCGTAACATGGGTCCTTTCAGTTTATCATCTTTGTATTCTGATTCGGAATTTCTACCAGAAGCAAAGTACTGATTATAATCATTCAAATCTAATCCCAGGTACATAGCCGCCGTGGAAACTGGAAAACCAGTAGTGGCTGGCAGCAGCACTGTTAGTGAAATCAACCCAGCCATCCATCTACAAGCGCGCTGCAGTAGTAGTAATATGATCACCATTTTCTGGTCTTAGCAGCAGCAAGTGTGATTTCATGGAGTAATCGGTTTAGCTAAACGTTGCAAACTGTAGTTGGGGTTAGTGAAGAATAGGTGTGGGCAAAGGGCGGGTTGGGTGGGTTTTGGTCTTAAATTGACCCACCCGCTTGCTAGCGAGTTGGAATAATTGTGATTCTCAATCCACCCACATATTTATGCTGGTTGGGTTGGGTGGATGAGGGATGAGTGCGGTTGGGTCGCGGGTCAACCCGCAAAAGCAATTCTCAAACAACCATTGAGAAAGTTAGACTAACATATATATAAGTTTATAACAAATTAGTAAGATTATATCAATAATTTATGATTTTGATACAATTAATAATTTATAGTTCGCATCCTAATATTTAATGGATGTTAACAATAATTTGCATATCAATATCCAATATGTAAATAATGTAATGGATATTGCACAACATAATAACCAATAATAATAGTCAAAACTATTCTTTATTTTCCACTTTTTAAAGTATATGGTCAAACTGTAGTGCAATGAGAAAATATGATGAATATTCGATACTTAAGAAACAACATTTTTTTAATGTAAAAATAGGATGCAGGTCATACGGGTGACCCGCAATCCACCCACCCACCCACATAAGTGCAGGTGAGAGATTTATCAATCCGCAATCCGCTCACATCAATCACCCACTGTATACGAGTCGGGTTATTTGTGGGTGGATCGATAACCACTCACGAATTAACCACCCACGTGCCCACCCCGCAGTGAAGGATCATCATCAGCAGAGCAGAGTATTGCTTGGATAGGTGTTATATGTCGAAGAAAAAGAAAAAGAAAAAGAGAAAGAAATGATGAAGGCATCTGATCACAATTCACACGTTCGATAGTTGCAGCTGCAGAAAAAAATACGAACTACAATGAAACGCCCACCGTGGGGCTCGAACCCACGACCACAAGGTTAAGAGCCTTGCGCTCTACCAACTGAGCTAGACGGGCTTGTTGTCTGAAAGTAAGCAATGATTTAACTGACTATTATTGATTTCTTAAAAAGAGCACATTCCTTCTTCTGCTTTGGGCCGCAGCTCAAGCCCATTCGACCCTGGTCCAATTTATAAAGCCCTTATCCCAATATATTTACGTAAACCAACTCCAGTTGGGCAAATTTGCGTTCATACTTCTTAATTAGGGGCTAGGGCTAGGGCTTAACGTAGAACCAAAGTGAGAGTGATACATTCCTGTTCCGATGGAATTGCAAGCGAGGAGCCGCTGAGTAGAATCTCTCCTCGATGGAATCCGAAATCATGGAAGGATCATAAATCTTTTTTTATCAGGTTTGCTAGATAGTCTTTGTGCAAAATATATTGACATATATATTTCGAGATGCATGTTGTTATGTCATTGTTTTTTTGTTCAATTTTGTGTGTTTGGTTTTTTTTCCAGTTTGTAAACTGATCATATGTGTCGTGCTTCTTATTGGAATCAGATGGTTTATGAAAAGTTCCATTGCTCGCGCCTAGGTGGGAATGGCAACTGCATGTATTGACCTTGATGGACAAGTCGCATTAGTACCAGTGTGACTACTATAAGTGCATAAGATTCAGCAGGCATGGTGGAAAGGTAAGTGTTAGTGTTGTGGTATATGATCCACGATTGAACTTCTCTCAAAAACTCGAGTTATTGGGATCAACTGGTTCATGACATGGTATCATAGCCTTCTGTGACCGAAATGTCTTGTGTTCGATTCCCGGTGACCCCCATTTGTTAAGCACATGGTATTCTTGTCTTCAGACCTGTGCAAACTTCAAGCCCTTGTGAGTGGCTTTCGTTTGAGGGGGCGTGTTAGTGTTGTGGTATATGATCCACGATTGAACTTCTCCCAACAACTCGAGTTATTGGGATCAACTGGTTCATGACAGTAAGCACTCAATTCACGGTTGTTGATTTCTTAGGAAAGTTTGTACTTTTAAACCAGAACTACGTACTATTCAGTTCAAGTGATAATGCAATCAGGAATTTAGTGACAGATATAGTTGCTGTGCAATATGTAGCAATCAAGAACTAGATATACAAATACGTTAAAACATACATACAGATAGTTTATTGCATATTGATCATCAAGACATGCATGAACCCTAATCCATAAAGCTAAAAATTCACCAATCCAATATATATAGTCTGGCTTGGTGTATGGCCATAAAACACTGGTGGTCAGTCAAGTCATCATCATGTAATTGAGAAGCTAGCCATTCCATGCTCCCGGACTGGTATTAATTACAAGTAATAAAAAAAACCCCGGCTAGCTAGAGATTAGTAATTAAAGGATATTTATATATATGCGTCTAATTCATTGAAAGATAGAGTTTATATATCTGCGCTAATTACCACACACAAATAACTAAACACGTACGTACGCCATGCATGTGATTGACAGATAGAAATTTGACTAACATTCGTAACTATTAGCTAAGTTTTTAATCCCACGTAATTAAGGCTGCTGATCAAGTGTCACTTGAAGGGATGCTTTTTAATATTGGTTTACGTCGTAGTGATGATTATGATTATGATCACCAGACGATCCATGCCCTCGAACTTGAACCTGATCATTATCATCATCGTCATTAGCTTGATGATCAGGCCGCGGCGGGATGGGAACAACGTTGTTGTTGTTGTTCCACTCCCAGATCTGCAGCGGCGACCTGCTGTTGCTAAAGCTCGGCATCTGCTGATGTGGAGGCGGCAGGAACATCATTTGCTGCTGCTGTTGTTGCTGTTGAAGTAGTGAGGTATAGTATTGCTGCTGCTGCTGGAAGTTCACCAACCGGTGTAGATCATCCAAAGCATTGAGAGTAGTAGTGTTACTGTCATTATTATTGTTGGTGGCGTTGTTAGTGTTGCTGAGGATGAGGAACTGCTCGTCGGCCACTACTTCATGTGGTGGCGGCGGCGGGAGTACTGGCGGCGCTGGTGCCTGCAGCGTGGTGGTGGCCGCCAGTGTGATCATGTGGTTGGGAAGTAGTAACCCTAGAGTCGTGGCGGCGGTGGTGTTTTCTAGGGCTGCTGTTGTTGAGGAGGAGGAGGTGAGCTTGTCGACTTCCATGAGGACTTGGGTGAAGGGTTGTTGAAGGTTGAGCTGTGGGTATTGTGGAGTTTGTTGTTGTAGGTGATGGTGGTGGTGTTTGTTGGAGGTTGAGGAGGAGGAATTAGAGGTGGATGCGCCCAAGTGTTGTTGTTTTTGATGATGATGATGATGAGGAGGAGGTGTTCTGGTTGAAGGAAGTGAGCGTGGGAGGGAGGGGCCGCCGTGGTGGTCTTCCACTCCGGCTCTCTTGTATACCCGACAAAGCGATATCTCCGTCTGCGTGAATGTAACATTCGTTTTTCGTGTAAGTTAGGATCGACAAATACAAACGTATATGACTAGAAACGGACTACACTCGTGAAATATTTAATCAGAAATTTTCGCTAGGTATACATACATACATTATACGATAGTGTGAATAGAAAAGACAGCAACTTGAAAAATTATGATGTGAAAAACAGACTAAAAGTTATGGAATACTTCACTAAAAAATTTTCACGAGTTATACATCAACTATATGATAGTGAACGGAAAAGACAACAGCTTGAAAATCCGCAAGATTCGAAGATCAAAATCGTACTGTTGTTTATGTTCTTTATATATGTTCAAATTCAATCATGTATTATCGAGAGTATGATATATTAAACAATATATGGTCTTGAAGCAAGATTTTAAGAATCCACAACAATGTGAAAACAGAAAGACACGTTAATTCGTTCATCCAAAAAATTTGAGGAAAAAGAAAAAGAAGAGAAAAAAAGTAGAACCACCATCCAAATGGTTTCATTCTAGACTCTTAACCCCCAGAACTTAGTCTTGCACTAGGGTTCTAAGCTACCAAATCTTACGCATAATCTAATCATGAAGATGTAAAGTCCAAACGTAGAATTAATTAAGATCACCATGCATTAAGAGCATAATAAGCACATTTCAAAGCAATAATATAATCGACGGTAAATCCAAAGAAATGGGATCAACTAGACATTGCTCAGTAATTGAAGAGAGTCAAGCATATCACGGGAAATGTAACATTGCACATCATCATCCCGTTTGTATCACAAGTAATGGGAGCTAGGCTAGCTAGCCGTTCCCCTCTCTCTCAGCTATGGCTAGCCGTTTAATTTCATGGCTGCTGCAGCTAGCTAGCAATTAAGAAGATCATGCTTTTCCTCTCGCGTCTCAATAAATATACTACTTGCACACTGTAAATTCTGTGAAGCAAAAATTTAAACTGGGAGGAGCGAGAAAGAGAAACCTAACCGCAAACGGCTGATTCAAAAAAAAAAAAGAACAACGTTATGGGAGAGGGAGAGGATCTGTTTGGGCAGGAGACAAAGCTTAGGACTGACTGTCAGAGGAGAAATAAAACAAATTAAATGTTAAGAGCATGCATCTAGCTATGCTGACTGTCAGAAGAATTTGCAGGTCCGGATTTTGTATTTTCTCCCCTATCTCCATCCATCACTTGTCTTTTTTTTTCTTCTCTTTTTTCCCTTCATCACATCAATCGTTTCTTCTTGTTCCATTTCCTTATGTGTTTAGAGTTTAGACTAAATGCAATCGTCGTTACGTTTTAGCAGCCATATACTACACTAGATTACGTTTTGTACGTCATCTATTGATTAGCCTAGCCTAGCTAGGGTTGGGGGTAGGTAATTGAGATGAAGGAAAGGATGATTATACCATCAGTACTTACTAGGCTAATCAAGAGAATGATTAAAGAGTGGAAGATAGATATATAGAGGTAATTAATTACCTTTTGGTAGCGCTGGGTGTCGTGGTGAGGGAGGCGGTACTCGTTCATGATCCAGCTCGTTCTTATCCCTTTCGGCGCCTTCCCGGAGTAGAACACCAGCGTCTTCTTCAGCCCGATCGACCTCGAGCTCTCCGTCCGGATCATCCGGTCCGCCCCCGTCGCCTTCCAGTAACCGGACGTCGTCACCCGGTTCGGCCTGTCCCCGTTCCGATACTTCCTGTCCCTCGGCACGTAGAAGAACCACTCCTTCTCCCCTATCGCCGCCATCGCTGCACACATGCATGCAAAATCAATCAATCCCCAAATTCCCCAAAAACCCACTAGAATTGAGAGGGTTGGAGAGGAAAGGGTATTACTTTATATATATAGTGAAGCAAAGGTGGAGACAAATAGCTGCAGATACAGACAGAGAGGAAAAAGTGGAAGAGACGAGAGAGAGGGGAAAGTAAGTAAGTAAGTAAGGGAATCGAACGAACCTGGGAGCTCCCAGGGGTCGTAGCGGTAAAGGTCGAGGAAAGTAATGAGCTCAACGTTGAAGCGCTTGCCCTCCACCTTACGGCGAAGGTAGAACTCCACAAGCTCTTCCTCCGTCGGGTGGAAACGAAACCCGGGCATCACCATGTCATGCTCGTGATCATCCTCATCCTCCTCGTCATCAACAACAACAGCAGCAACATCCCTTCCTCCTCCGCCACCGACTGCCAGTTCCTTGCTTCCACCGCCACTGCAGCTATTATTATTACTTCCCTCTTCCGCCGCCTCCCCGCTCTTCTCCTCTTTGCTCATACTCTCTCTCTCTCTCTCTTTCTTTCTGCAATTAGGGTCGACTGCCACCGCCGACTTCAATTCTCAGCTCACTCTCACTTCGCTTTGTGTTTTTTGTTGGTTTATGGGAATGGAGGGATGGATATATAGACGCGGCCTCCAGGGAGTGAAGAGAAGTAGTTAATTAATTAGGGAATAAGAAAGGAGGCGGTGGTGTACATGTGTGGATGAAGGAAGGAAGGAAGGAAGGAAGGAAGAAGGAAGAAGAAGAGGAGGAGGAGATTTGTTAGAATTTTTTTTTTTTTTTTCGCAAATTGATTGACTCAGTGACTCACTCTTATTTAGCACATCAGGCGCAGTAACTGGAGCTGCTGGCTTGGCGACCGGTTTCCAGCAAGTGGGCACACCCACCCCAGCATTTCGACCATTTTTCTTATATTCTTTTTTTTTCTTTTTCTATGGTAGAGTAAAATTTGTTGAATTTAAGGTAAATTTCGCTCATGGGTGGTATTTTTTTTTTTACTGATTGAAGTTTGTGGAACAATTTCATTCTTTCATGTAATTTTTGTAGAAATACACACCAGTACTAAAAAATAGCGATGGGACGAGAGAGCTTACCTATTAAGATATGTTGAAAACTAAGTTAAGGCAATTGATTTATCCAACCGATACAGCATCGACTTATAAAAGTTAGGATTTTGTAATTTAAACCAGGTATTCCTTTCAAATAAAAAGTCCATATATTACCTTTTACACTCATGAGAAGTCTTTGATTTTGAACTAGAAAAATATAACTTTAATAGTCTTCTACATACTTCCAAATTGTACCAACTTCTCTACATCCATCACTATCAGCGTTTACCATTTTCTCCTTATTATTTTAATGGTTAAGCGTTTAATATTTAGCATTCACCAATCCAATATAATTCGCTTCTCTGATAAACATTTAAAATCACAAGGTGCTACAACAAAGCTTTTATCACATGTAACTTTTTTCTTTCTCCTTAGTGTACAAAAGGACTACACCAAGAATTAGTTATGATTGAATTTGACACTAAGATGTTACTCAAACGAGTTAAAACATTTTAATCTCGTAAGCTATCATCCTACTCTGCCCGATTACCGCTGTTTTCAGTGATAGTACTCAGTGCAACTTAGTTGCAGCTGTTAGAACTACTACACATTTGCGCTATACAATCAGTGGAGAAACTAGCTTGAAGGTAGGGGCGTGCTATACCCCCCTCAACCTCTTCAAATATAGGTAGTAGATTAGTTAATGTGCACGATTTCGATCCCTCTCCTTAATTAGTACGTATGATTCAAATTTTCCAGCTCGATCCGCACGATGGTATACGATCCGGTTTTGAAAATTTGAGAAACGTGATCATACCCCCCCCCCCCCCCACCCCCAAAAGTCATGAACAGAACAGGGGAGTGGATTGGTGGTGTTAAGTAAGTTAAATATTAGGTTGGGGAAAATATTGACCGGAATGCGTGTACGTCATCAGCCATTCTTCTTCTTCTTCTTCTTCAAAGGGCTAGAAGGAAGGAAGAGTGAGAGAAGAGTAGTTGATCAGAAGAAAGATCTACATAGAGAAGCGGACCCACCGGACACAAGGGTGGCGGTGGAGGTGGTGGCCGGAGGTTGATTGCTGCCTCTAATCGAACGGGCCGCAGTTTTAAGACTGGGATAGAAAATGACATGTCACGTACCGGTACAACTTAGGGCGGGTCCCACCTCACCTCCCCTCCCTTTGTTTGCGGTGCCTCCCCTTTATTTTGTCCCTTTTCTTGCCTCCTCACTCCTTATTCTCTCTCTCTTTTAGTCGGGATTTTAGGGTTGAGGATTGGGATGTTGGTTTCGGTTTACTTCAGTACCGAGTCGGCCGGTAAGTAAATATCAATTCTGAATTTTCGGTTTCAAACTGGTTTGTATCTGACCGATACCAGTTTGAATCAGCGACGGATCCAGGACATAAGTGAGTATTGGGCCGCATTTGAATAGAATATTAGATACCATAAACAAAAATATATAATAATATAGTTTTCATTACAATGCCAATTGTACTGGAAAATATTTTAATTTAGCAAATTCATCAATAATATAATCTCCATCCATACCGATAATATACTCTTTTTCAAAGAAAATAACTAAGTAATCAACGAGAAATTCATCGATCATTTTGTTGCACAAAACAATTTTCATGTTCCATTGCTGAAAATATTTTCTCCATGGTAGTTGTTGAAACGGCTAGGTCAACACTAGACAAATCAACCGACAAATCAATTTGTATTATGTGTCCATCTCTGTTTCCTCCAGGTTCTCTAATAATTTTGCAAGAGAAGAAACTTCATCTTCCTCACATGAGTAGTGCATTCTCCAAAGAATGCATCTCATAGCCTTCAAAGTCTCGAGGCTAAACTCTTGAGCAAGTTTGTAAGTATTTTCTTCATCAAAACACCAGAAAGAACTGTTAGAATCTAGTGACCCACTCAATTGATGCTATCTAAATGATGACAACAAGTTTGTAAATATTTTCTTAATCAAAAGAATGGAAAGAAAACCAGCTCGACGGGATGGCGGAGAAATCCATTTGGGTCTGCTCGTCTCCTCGTTCTTGTTTTGTTTTGGGGGGATTGAGAAATTTTTTGAATTTTGTAAGGAAGGGTGTGATTTAGTTTAGAGTTTTTTATTTTATTTTAATGAAACTTTACACTTTCAGGTTTTCATGTCATTTTTCAAATAAAATCATTGGGGCTATAGAAAATTTAGGATAAATTTAAAGTAATAGTTTGGATATGTTCATCAGAACCATTTTCTTAGTTACACAAAATCCTATTTTCAAATAAAACTAGACAGAATTTTAAATAGCACTAGGCCAAATACCTAAATCGAAAAATTTTATAAGTACTAAACTAACTCTGGATCCGGAGGAGGGCTGGGCCGGGGCCTGGGTTGGCCCAGCCCTGGATCCGCCACTGATTTGAATTGGAAAATGGAAATCGAAACCAGTAGTTGCAACGGTTTCGAGTTTTGTAATCGAGATATGTAGGGGTTTTGGGTTAACCGGAAACCAATAAGCGTTTTACGGTTTCGGTTTCGGTTTCGGGTAAACATCCTAGTTCGTTTTTCGGTTTTGTTAATGCATTTCAGTTCGGTTAACATAACCAAACTGACACCCCCTAATAGGGATATAGGTGAATGCACACGATGATAATTTCGTATGATATGCATCAAGTTGCGAATAGCAAAACATATATTGCTCAGTTATAGTCATCTGCCATGTTAAGATGTTCTATTCGTAATAGATGTTATAATTATAACCTAATTCGTTTTTTTTTTTATGCGTGGAGAAAATAAGTTAACTCCTTATTCACATAATCCTAGAGATCTCATTTGCTTTCTCTTCTTTAATTACTAGTAATGATGGTCCCTCATTATTAATTCACCAATTTAATTATATGCTATTTTGATGTTTAGTCTCACACTATGTTATGTGCTTTGCACGCATCATAGTTCATATATATTTGGTGGCTTCTTTGACGCACCTGTAAATTTGAGCGCATACTATGAACCTCACTATGAAATTGTTCTTACAATATCGAATTTTAAATTTTAATCAGTAACATTTGTCTAATATGATGATATAACATTAAAACATAATAATAAATGCATTACTCCGAACACTAAATCTTCAATCTTGAACGCTAAACCTAAATCCCAAATATAAATTCAAACTCTAAATCCTTCAAATCAAAATCAATTTAAGTGTACAAATTCTTGTGTTTTCTTGTCCATCCATCATATCACGAGTGGCGATAAAATGATTTTGACATGAATTACTTGCTCAAAATGATGTTTATAGATGAGGCTAGTGAATAACATGCACTAAAAAATTGAGTGCATCGAAAACAAAATCATATTATATACAAGGGTTTTGGTATAGTATCATGTGCAAAAATCAAAATTTTATAATTTTATAAATAAGATCAATTGACCAATCTATTTTCGTTTTTCAAAGTTTTTTTTTACAGTAATCTTTTTTCAAAGTGAGTGTATCTAAAACAATATCATATAAATGTTTTGATATCGTATCATGTTCAAAAATTTAAATTTTATAAAATAAGATCAATTGACTGAATTTTTTCCGTTTCTCAATTACTCCATCTAAACCACCATAGATGAATAAGAGCGCCCTGAACTAGTAGATTATTTGGAGAAATCAATGAAAATCTCACTAACGCAATTAATTGATGGATGATTGGACTGCAAACATTGAAATTACTTCTCAATTCGGACAAAATAGTCCTTTTCTGTTTCTGGTTTGGGGTTGTTTCGAAATTTTGTTTTAGGGGTCGTTTGCTTCATGGATTTAAAAATGAGGGTTTTGTAATTTAAAAACCCAAGGATTTATCAAGGATTTGAGGCATTATGGATTTATAACAATCCTTTGTTTGTTGGGATGTTTTTATCATGGATTTAAAGGTGTGGGATTTACTACTTGAAGTCAAAATTTACATTACTGCCCTTTTCTATATGTTTGACATGTTTATGATATGTACACAAAACAAGGACACAACTTCAAAATTACCTTACTATCATTTTCTATATGTTTTACATGTTTATGATATGTACACAAAACAAGGACAATACATACTAATAAGCATAATGTTGCCACATGGACAATAATAGTAAACGAGAAAATTCCGTTTTAACTTTTAACGTAACATAATCAATTACCAATTCTTTGTCCTCCTTTTCAAAAGTAACATATAACAACATATATTAGAATCGGGAGAACAAAGAATTACACGTTCCATGAAAAGGTCAAAGAAAACTAGAACACAAGAAATGATATAAAAAATCTAACTCATGTTTGCACATTAATTGAACGTTTATATTATTCATTTATTGTTAATTATAATGTATAATAGTTAAATTTGAGGGCAACCTTGGAATATTAAAAGTGCATGAGGGTAAATGGGTAAAATCTCATCAAGGATTTATGCCATATTCCAAATCCCACATCAACATGTGGGATTTATAAGTCCGTGGGGTCCACGGATTTGGACCCTTAAAATCCGTGGGCCCCACGGATTTGGTCTCCAAAAAAGGTGCAAGCAAACAACGGATTGTACCTAAATCCTTGATAGTTGGTTTTTTGGTACCAAATCCATGTACCAAATCCTTGAAGCAAACGATTAATTTTATTTCAGTTTTTGGGTGTGGGTTCGAAATGGAAATGGACGTTATATATTGGAGTCAACGAGACTCAAGGGATACCCGTGACTTCTTCTTCTTCTCCTCCTCCGCCTTTTCGTCCAAACTCCAAATACACTATCCTGGACCCCACAAGGCCACAATCCTATTACTTATTTGTCCTTTTTACAACCCTAATCAATCTTTGCTTCCCTTTAATAATCAAAACAAGGTTTTTGTCCTCTCATTAATAAATCTTCCTTCAAGTTCAATTTATTTTAAAAGAATGTTTCTCAGCATAAGGTATTGTATAAGATAGGGGTGGCTATACGGTCCGGTCCGGTTAAATTGGTCCGAATTTATCCGGTTCTAGTCCGGTTTTTTCGGGAATATAAGGACCAAAGATTGGATCGGATACAGTTCGGTCTTGACCCAGTCCGGTCCCAATTAGGTCTTGATTTTAGATTGAGCTTGTGGGGATTTGAGTGTCCTGAGAACTCAAAGGGTGAGAAGTTGGTTAAGTTTTGGGTGTTGGGCTCTCTTATCCGGTTTTCGATCTTGTCTCAAACGATTTTTTTTACTTCAAATCTAAGCCCGAATATTGGATTGGATGTTTGCTATCTAGTTCCAGTCCGGGTTATACAGGCCGGTTTCGGGTAAAACCGAATAGCCAGCCCTAGGGTACGTTGTACTTTTGGTAAGATTACACAATCTAAACCACGAATTAACTAGAGATATGACATAACATCCTAGACTCTAATTCTCTAAACCCTAAGGTAAGATTCATTAAGAAAAATTATCGATATAATCCCGATTCGTTGAAATACATCTCACACAATAAATGTACGATTCACAGAAAGAGTGTGTGTAACATTAATTAGTTACTTGAGTTTAGAATATGGTACCATGCTTCAAATTCCAATTAATCAAAGGATCGAGATGCCAGTAACTCAATCAATTTCACTTGGAACTTGGAAGTGTCTAGTATGCGATCGATTAAATCCATTAAGACGATAAGATGCCCGACTTGCACTAAACGCTTATGCTATAACTATAACCTGACTCCTTATCAGCGTAACCATTTGTACACATCTTACTTTCTCCTCTTTAATTACTAGCAGTGGTGGTTCAATTGCATCAACACGATAAGATGTTCTGTTTGCAATAAGCGTTACAGCTATAATCTGACTCGTCATTAGCGCATAAACCCTATATACACACACATTATCTTACTTTCTCCTCTTTAATTACCAGTAATGATGGTCCCCGGTAAACAACTTACCATGTCATCTACTTCATCTAGGTAATTAGTTGTATATGTAAGAGTCAACGGCATGGATATTAATCCTCATATACAGGACACCATGGTTCATATGATTCTTTGATCTTTTGTCTCACATTATAGTATATGCATGAACCATGTGCATTTATATATGGATTTTGGCGTTTGCATGAGCTTGTATATATGCGCTGGCTGGCTGGCTAGCTATCTAGAGACAGATGGAACAAAGCTCATGTGGCTTTCAAAGACCAAATCAGAACTCGTGTGTATGTTTCTGCAGACTTCAGTGTTCCGGTTTACACCTAAATTTAATTTGGATTAAATTAAATGCCGCATTAATGTGGCTCGGCATTTAATTCGATGTCGTATGATAACAAACAGTGTCGTTAAAAACAATGCTGCGGTACTTAAAACAACATTGTTTTAGTAGAAAACAATGTCGTGAGCGGCTTTGAATGTTGGTGTTGGGGTTAGAAAAGGAGTGCTTTTTATTCCTTGCCAGAGAAGGATAAAAAACAGCACCGTTTAGTGACAAGCAATGTCGCGGGAACCAAGCGGTGTTGTTTAGCTAAAAACGACACCGCAGATGAGAAAACGACAGTGTTTAATATAAAACAATGTCGCGGAGAAAAAGCAAGCAAAGTTGTTTGGGGAAGAAAACAACACCGCGGAGTTTGAAAATGACATCGCGTGAGGTATCACCAATACCGCGGTGGGGAGACAACGCCACGAGCTAAACAACATTGCGGTGGAAAGAGATGTCGCGGTCGCGAATTCAGCGGCGTTGCGAGTTTGACAATGCCGCGAAGTTCAACCTCGGGAATTGAAATTGGTGGAGTAATAGCATTGGTACTATTCCTTCTAAAGTGTAAACCAACCCTCGCGGAGAACAACTCATAAGCTTACCCGGCAGCTTTAGCAGCCACTAGGGGATTTGGAGAAGAAGGCGTTAAATCGACAAGATTATCTACGGGGTGAATGTCTCTGCGCACTAAAGTGCCACATATTCCTGCTCGGCCAGATCTATCTCTAGATATAATGACTCTCCTATAACTCCGATCAGTCAAGTTGACACCAATTTCTCTTGTGGGTTGAATTCCGATATATGATTCACTTTTTCCTTTAACTGCTAAGCTAAGAGCAATTGCCGCTCGGAGTTTTCTAGAAGCACCATGATATAAGGTGATCGGCTCCGGGTTATCCACATTTGGAACCACAGGGTTGCCTGGGTTATAAAAATGTGGAAGTAAAGGGTTTATTGTGCACGTGACTTTTACGCAAGCAAGACTGGAGAACGGATGCGAGGTAGTTGAAGACTACAACTTCGTGAAGAAGGATGTACCACGTGGGAGAAAAAGGCGAAGCGGTTTCAGAGCGTGAAGACTACGGAAGTGATTTGATAAAATCAACCGTGCAAGGAGAGAGAAGGAGAACCAAATCAACACAGAAACACATCTGTCAAACTTATCTTTTTCTCCGTAACTCATTCGCGGAGCTCTCCTTCCATGAAGGATCTCCATAGTTCTAGTCTTAGTCGTAGTCGCGAAGCTCTCCATAGGAGTAGCGGTAACGTAGATTCCTCAAACTCAAACACCCTCGTTCGAACGTAGTTTGGAGAGGTGCGAACCGTAGTAACGGTCGTCTTGGTTAGAAGTCAGAGGTGCATCGGTCAAATCAACACCAGCGGTGGATATTTGACGATCGTCCTGGTTTATAGAAGTTAGAGGTGCATCGATCAGATCAACATCGCCCTGCGGTGGATATTTGACGGTTGTCTCGATTTCATCAATTAGCGGTGCATCCGATCAAACAGCACCGCAAGAGTTTCCATGGCGAAACATCAAATCAACATCGCCGGAAACAAATTCGGCACCAACGGTGGATATTTGGTTTCGCATCGAAACAGTTCCCCTCGCGTGTTCATAGCTAGCAAAGCTAGATCATGTGCACGTCCATGGCCAATGTGCAACTTGCAAACCATCATCATCGATCAGTCTCCCTTTCACAAATA